CCTTACCCCCAACCCTGAACCCTAAAGCCACTAAACCCTAGACCCAAAACCCCCAAACCTTAAACCCCAATCCCTACACCCCAAACCCTAAAGCCTCAAGCCCCTAAACCCCAAACTCAAAGTCAGAAGCCACTTCGTCTGGGTCTCTGATGTCTTGCCTCCGCAGATTTCTTGCTCTATTTTCTGGCTTCTGTTAAGGAACTTAATAAAGTTACCAACTATGGGTATATAGTTAATAATACCGTTTCCTTATTACAGTGATTTGATTTGAGTTTTTTAACAGCAACCCAGTTTTCTAGGCTTGCCAACTGTGTAGAAACCTGAATCATTTTTCAATAGTAGTTTCCATGTTCGTTTCCATTATCCCTATATAACCCCAATATATACCCTATTATATTATGGTAGTTGCCATTTTCTTTTCCCCTATCCTTGTATAACCCCCCATATAGCCCCTGCAACTGCCCTTATGGAATGTGGGCATTGCGTAAGCTAGGAAGCCCAGACGCACCCTTTAACCCTTTTCGGGCTCCAGGTTCCTTTCTATAGTTATATAACCAGTAGGAAAAAAACGGTACCCTGATTGCAATATGCCTACTGGGGTCAAGGGTTTAGGGTTGAAAAGCCCTAAACCTTAACCCTACACCCTAAACCCTAAAACCTAAACCGCACGGGGCTGAAAAAAGTCTTCCAGGGATTGGGGTAAAGCTGCTCTCAGGTAGCGAAGCATGCTCCCGAGGGCTCAGCATCTTGGAAGCATATGAGCTATAGTCTAAACTCTTTAAAGGGGGGTCTTATTATATAGGGGATTATATAGCGGAGTATTATGGGGGTTATTAACGAAGATTTTAGGAGTTTAGACTATAGCTCATATAGGGTCTAGGGTTTAGTGTGCTGCAGAAGCTTCAAGAAATGCCAGCAGTACGGCTTGAGATTCCTTGTATGGCTAGGATATAGAATGTTTTGTATACACCTCAAAAGGGTATTGATTCATTTTTTGGCCCCTGAATGATGCATGAGCTCTACTTGCTACTTTTTCTTCTTGATTGTGCAGAAAATTCTTGGATCCTCATACTGGAAGTCCATTTTTTGGGCATGCAAGGGACCTCAATCGTGATAGATGTTGCTATGCTGGAAATGCTGCGAGAGCAAATCCAGTGAAACATGCTTTCAACATGAATCAGGTTATGTAACCCCTCGAAAAAATGCATATATATCAAAGCCTAAACCCTTTGTAACCTGCTATGCTTTCTTGTTTTTTCCTATGTCTACTAAGGATTAGAAAGCTTCAGTAGCCATCTTGAATGGAACTCCGCAGTGGACAGGTTGTGCTGACAGTGCTCCCTGACACCGGCGAACGCTTCTTGACTCAAGGAATGCTTAGGGGGGGTTAGTAGGGAATAATGGAACATGTCATATAGGGGCTATATACGGATTACATTCCCTTATTCCCTACTAAGAACCAGTAAGGAATCTTGAGGGCGACCGGTGCTTTTTAGCCCTGGAAACCCACACCCATATTTTTTCTGTGCCTGGCGCTATGGCAGGCTATCTCTCCACGCCACTATTTGCGGACATCGCTGCAGACATGAATGCAGAGGATGCCGTTATCAGAGTTGTCGCAATGGTAGCGTATCTCCAAGCCTCGAAGGATCTTTCCAGGTCCTTTCAAAGGGTTTAGGGTTTTACGTTTTGGATAGATCCATGGCAAGCTTCGCAACCTTATCATTTTCAGAATCTTTAAGCTGATGACTCGCCCCTCACTGAGAATGCGTTGGAAAGAGGTAGGAATAAGGGAATACAATTAATGCCTATATAATATGTTTTCTCATTCCCTACTGACTTCCACTAATTAAATGGTTCAGTTGCAGACCCCACCACGCTGCATCATGGATTCGCTCTGGCTGTCAACGACGGCAAACGCAACCAAGATTCTGTGGATCTACAAGAAGATGTCGCGGGATACCCGCACTTTGCAGTCTTTGATGGACCTGCCGGAGTAGAAGTGGCAACGCTGTCGAAAGCCATGCTGCTCTCACAGCTCCATCTGAATTGGAAACAGGCATATGATCCAAGTGTCCATTTCCTTTTCCATTATCCCTATATAATCCTAAACCCTATATAACCCCATTATGGTAGTTTCCATTGTATTTTCCATTATCCCAATATAGCCCCAATATATTAGTGACTGAGTGAGTGAGTGAGCCCCCTACCTGAGCTGGCCTGAGGCCTTCCCTTGTGATCCCAAACCCAATTATTTAGGGTTTCGGGTTTAGGGCTTAGGGTTTAGGGCTTAGGGTTTAGCATTTAGGGTTTAGGGATATAGGGGATATATATGGTTTAGGATTTAGGGTGCTGGGCTTACAACCTCAGACAAGAAGCACTTGACACGGAGTCTACATGCTCCTCCCTGAATGGCACGTGGGGATGTTGTTGAGAACAGATAGCCAACAGGTTGCTAGAGCAAAGAGTGAACACGCAGGTGGAATATGAGGCAGATACTGCCGCTGCTGGTGTTATATGAGGGTAATATTGGGGTTATACTGGGCTGATATAGCGATTACATAGGGGTAGAATAGGGGTTATAATAGGATTATATAGGGATTACGTATTGGGGTCATAATGGGATCTTCTGAACGACCCGGAGCCTCAGCCCCAGAGAGCGTTCACACCCACTTCCGACCCAAAGTGAGAATCCAAAGTGATTGCGGGCTCACACAGCTGAAGTTAACAAGAGTTCACTCCGTATTGCCAAGTTTCAATCCATGCACCCCTGGCCTTACTGGACAGGGACGTGAGTAGTCCCGCAGAGTGTACCCTGCATCACACAGGCTCCCGCCTTCACCATACTCCAGCAAGACTGCATAATCCATTGCCATCCTGAGTTCTGCTGACCCCGACAACCCAATAATAAGAGTAGAAATAGTAATACTGGTAATAATAGTAATGGTAACAGTAGTAATAACGGGAATAGCTAAAATAGTACTAGGAATAATCACCACCGCGTTGTGGCACATGCGTCAGGAGCTGGCGATCTCGCGATCTACGCCAAACTTCCAACTCTGACTTGTAAGATGGGAGTATTGATGATTGCCTGACTGTTCTTAGCAGGTTTAGTACCATGGCTGTAAGTATCAGTATTAGGTTGATCTTTTGTGGCTTCCGGGCGGTTGCATGTTTGCTGCTCCGCCATCTGCCAGGCTGTTCATACAGATTGCAAGGGGAGATGCTCTTATCGTTTCATCACTCGGCCACACATTGTGAAGGCCCAGTTGTGTGAAGGAGTTTGAAGTAGCCGCTCCAATCTTGACTGTTAGCAAAGATAGTCATGAACTCTGGTTGGCCAGTGAGGTCATGAACTTGCATCCCCAGCTAGCTGCTTACTGACGCCACGTTGCACTGTCACCTCATGTGGAATCACTGATTAGAGTTCATCCTAGCCCAAAGCATAAGCTGCAGCCGGCATATGTTAAACCCCATGCAGCATCGATCCCCTAATGAAGAGCCTGGCCTAGCCTTTAGGAGATGAGCTTCATGTACAGAATGAGAGGAGCCATACTTACAGATGGAGCGTCGCTAGTAAGAAGGCCTGTTCCCCAGTTCGAGCCTATTGGCAAGAGCCTTAGGGGAGGTTGGCTACATTTCAACCTCCCGCAGTTCAGTGTGTTTGCAAAGGGCCCTCCTGTCGAGACGTATCCCAATAGTGGCTGCTGTTCTTCATGTCAGTAGCGGTGGCATAAATTGTAAAGGAAGCTGCCGTGGTGCAAAAGACAGAGCTGCAGAAAGTCGTGAAAATTGACGTTTCTGTGAATTTGTGGCTTACAGGTTGTCAGTAGGGAATGAGGGAATATCATCCCTATATAGCCCCTATATAAGATACTCTCTTGTTCCCTACTAACTACTAACCCCCAGTAAGTTCCGTGAATTTGCCCGGCTCGGGAGTGGTACAAGTTGCAGTCAGCTCCAGAAGCATTTGAACCACGCGTTCCATGCATGAGGCACCCCAATACGCACACCAAGATTCTATTATGGGGATCAGAAAGGGATCCCCGTATTTCCTTACACCGTAGACCCTAAACCCTAAAACGTGACATGTCTGCACATTGGAGACGTCGAGATTCCCATCAGGTGCTTTAGGCTTTAGGGTTTTGGATTGGAGTTTTAGGTTTCTGGTTTTCAGAGTTGGGGGTGCGCTATGCGCACTTGCAGGTTGGTTTGCTGTAGCACGAACTTTGAGAAGTTGCGGCTGGGATCTAGACATCTGAAACCGTAGTAGTTGCTGCAGAGTGTACATGGCAGCCTCATAGGCCATCTCCTTACTGGTGCTTAAGGGAGAGTGGGGGAGTGGATCCCTATAACAATCCCTATATAAACCCCATGATTTACCCTTATTATGGTAGCTATATTTATTCCCCCACCCCCCTTAAGCACCAGTAGGACACCTTATGATGTGCTGAGATTTCACTCTAGCTTAGCTCGTACATAGGTGATAATCTGGGTTGCTGTTAATGACTTCAGATGACATGAAGTTACCATAGTTGGTGTGTATATATGTATAGTTATTAACATGGAATACCAATATAGTAACTTAACTTGAGTTCCTGAACAGCAATCAAGTAATGGTAAGCGGCCTTTCCACAAATTGGGGGTCCCTTCTTCGGCCGTCCCCATGATGAAAAACATGTCGTCTATCTTGGGGCCACCCATTTATGAAAGCTCGCAAATCTCTAGCTTGTCATTGCGTTGGAACGGCACAGCACGCAAGTACAAGTCCCAAGCAAGCAGGCAGCAAGCACGCGATAGAGGATGGATCGAAGCTCTTCCAGGCACGTTGTGCTGGCTCGATGATGTGTTGCATGCTTCGGGACACCATGGAGCGCCTGCTCCACAGTGCAGGTTTGTTGGCGCTGAACCACTAGGTTTGAAGGACACATGTTCGCGGGTTCTTTGAAGCTGTTTAGGCCAAAGCGACCGGTGCCAGAAGCTAGCGGCCTCACAGTGCCATGCAGAGGCTGATCGCCCTGATAGCGGTTTGGTGCGCATGGGCAGAGGATCCCAAAGCCGCGGACATGCTGATGCCGAAGCCCCTTCAAACTCCGGCTGAAGGATCACCAGATGCCAGCCTCTCCGCCGGCAACAGCTCCGCCTCTGTGCAAAAGGTGCAGCCTGCTAAAGAGGGGGACGAGATCACGAAGTCAAGTCTCCGTGGTGGTTGGTTTTCCGGAGGCGGGAATGGAGGTGGCAATAGCGGTGGATGGAACGGAGGTGGGAACAATGGCCAGCCAAATGGAGGCGGCAACGGTGGATGGACTGGCGGAGGTAACAACGGAGGTAACAATGGAGGCAACAACGGAGGTTGGAACGGAGGTGGCAACAACGGTCAGCCAAATGGAGGCAACAACGGTGGATGGAATGGCGGAGGCAACAATGGGCGTCCGAACG